TTTTCATTAAGGGTCAGCAATATTTGAGGCTTGATTGAACATGATTGTGGTGTCGTCAAGCTGAGATCAAGTGGGCAAAGAAATGAGTTTAGGGAAATTTCCACACTTAAACCCATCCGTTAAATTCAGATGAAATTGATTTATCTTATAGACGGGATGGAATTTTGTATTTTTAGACTATTTGTTTTCCTAAAGTTCGAGTTTTGCAGTAATAATGTTGACTGACACTATTCTATAAACAATATTTTCTTGCAATTTTGTTTCTGTAAATCCAAGATGGTGCGATTTTCATCAATTAAGCAGACTTAAAATTTCGTAGGTCAACAGACATGACAGCTTATTTGTTTTGCCTTTACTGCGTTTATGAGTCAATTTTTGTTTGATTGGAAAGTGAATTATTGTTCTTTGTGGAAGAACTTATCGATCAATTGGTTGACATAATGATTGGAACCACAATATTGTGTAGTTAAGGGGAGGGATGGAAGAAGACGCGATTTTCAGCTATTAGGGTCTTAGAATGAAGTCCTTTCTCTTATTATAAATCATTCCTCTCAATTTTTTAGTCCAAGCAAAGAGGTAAAGCCAAAATTCGACTGAATGAAAATTTACATACCCACAAGGTACACCAGGTTATAATCGTGACTAGAAGATTCAGTTTCATTCACTGCTGTATCTTGTAACATTAATTTAGGCTATAATTGATGTATGTCATTTATGGTGTGGGCAGTCAGATGAGTGATTACTTCAGAGGTACAATAATGCAGTCAACAAAATTATCACCACGAGAACATTTAGACTTTTAGGGTCATGTAAGTATGTAAACGGCTTATTAAAGTAGGATCATAACTTGTACTGAATATCTTCGACAATTCTGATACTTTCTGTCTGGTTCGAATGCTTTTCAACATTTAAAGTGCACTTTTTGTACCCTCCCCCCCCCCCCCCCCCCTCAAATCAATGATAACAGCTTAGGAGCTCATTAATATGTGCCTTGTAATTAGAATGATCTGCTGCATCGAATAAATTAAATTCAACTTGTGAAAAACTTGACGTAATAAACCTGCGATGATTGATGTGTTTGGACATGTTGGATAGTGCCTTTAAATCCAGTGATTGGTCATTAATTGTAACTTAATGTCACCTCATGTGTGGAAAGTGGTATCATCTATGCGTGACGCAGATACAAATAATAAATAGTTGGCATATTCAGAATATGTTATATTGATGCTGTTTATTGAACACTTATGCAAATGAAGGTGCATCCCTAATTACGCGTTGAATGCTTCGGAGAGTCAGACCAACGGAAAATATGACCTCTGAATGACCTAATCAACTCTTTACTTTTGTATTGCCTTTTCTCGTGAGATAGGTGTGAATCTTTTGAGGCCTATTAATTCCACTTATTTGGATGATCAATAGTAATAATAATTATAATGTTGATCCATTTTCTTAATTAGTATTGATCCATGAGACTAAAGTCAAAATGACACTCAAGTGATTAAGGCATTAGAAACTATTTGGTTTTGAATTGTTCATTAGATGAAGCGGGGGGTGGATGCATTGTTAACATTGAGTAGAAAACACCTTCATAAGCGAAGCAGTCATTTAATCGGAAATGAAACTTGAAAAATGGAAAATGTTGATATATGATAACAAAGACATAGCATAATTTAGTGGTTTCTACCGGACATGTATTACAGTTTCGATTGTTTTTGTTTTATTTTAGCCTGAGGTCTCTCGTAAACCTGTTTCAGAGGTTGAGCTAAAAGACTTCGGTTTGCCCTCGTCTGCCGGATCACATTCCTTTGTGAAAGTTTCCTTTGATGACACTCCTAAAATGTCCACCTACATCGTGGCATTCGTCATCGGACGCTTTGACTACATTGAAGCAATGGATGCTAACAATGTCCGCATTCGTGTCTATACGCCTCCCAAACGTAAATACCTTGGTGCTCATGCTCTAAAAATGGCTACATCAGCCATTCCCTTCTTTACCGAGGTCTTTGGTGCCGAATATCCCCTCCCGAAGCTTGACCTTGTCGCTATTCCGGACTTTGCTATGGGAGCTATGGAGAATTGGGGCCTTCTGACTTATAGGTATACAAGATTTCATAACTGATCAATGCCATATATAGCAAGTTGGGCTAATCCGAGGCTCTAAAATTAGATTAAAAATAGTGCTCAACGATTAAGAAATAACTGGTGTGGTTATCCCTTGTGACGAAGGACTTAGCAGAGGGAAGTCGTTTGAATATGTCTTTTCATGTCATTTACTTGTGACGAAAGTTAATACTTATTCGAGTTATTTAAGCTTCGGTGGCATAGCGATAAAATCTAGCTGTAGGGCGTGCGTTTTCATTAATGAATCTGAGACGCCAAATGTGTTGAATGTAAGCTTTAGAGCGCGATTCTCATTATTTGGATTCTGGGATAATTGCGCAACTGACACGAAGGTCATGTGCAAATTCAGAGGTCACGGGTAGGATACACGGCGTCATGATCAATTTTATTGTAATGATAATAATAATAATAATGAAAGGGTATGGCGGAGTGCAAATTTGTCATGGTGATCTTGAAAGCTGAGTTGTCTTGGTGAGTACATTGGGTGTCTCTGTAGTTGCAATTCATTTGGCCAACTAATCCGGTAAGGTATGAATCATGGCATAATTATGTAATGCAATAAAAACTCATTTTCATTGTGGGAAAGCAACTGGATTTGGTTAACAACAAATGGTATAGAAATAACGTTGCCACGGATTCGTCGATTTATTTTTTGCATTCATTGCTAGTGCTATTCCGTGTGTCAGAATTCTAATTTCCTCCTTTGTCACATGAATTAATGATCAACTTTCGTCCACAATATTCATTGCGAGTTGATCTATTGTCTATTTATGATGGTTGGTCTTGGCATATTAAATATTTTTGCGCTTCTAAAGATTAAGGAAGTATTATGATATTACGGCTGTTAGTGGCCTAAAATGTTTAATTGATCTCATTATGTGATTGATATATACTTTGCATATCATTTTCCAGTTGCTTTTCTTCATTGCAATAATTTCTTTTGGTAACTAAGTAGTGCCTTTAATCACACCATTTGAGATAAATTTCCTTACGATTTCATTATTGTGCTACCGGTATATTTGCGTGTTAGTGTTTACTTTAACTGTGGTTCAACAAATAGATTTGTCCATTTTATGGTTACAGCTTGAATGTTTCTCAAAGTTCTCTAGTGTGTGTCTTTTCTACACTTTCAGAGAAACCGCATTGTTGATCGATGAGGAACAATCTTCTCTCTCCTCAAAGCGTCATGTTGCTCTTACCGTGGCCCACGAATGTGCTCACATGTGGTTCGGTAATCTTGTTACCATGAAGTGGTGGACCCATCTTTGGCTCAATGAAGGCTTTGCTACTTGGATTTCCTACTTGGCTGTAGATCACTGCTTCCCTGACTACGATATTTGGGTTAGTGCCACTGAATTCCTCATTTCAGCACTTTTGTTAGTAGAGTCATCAAATCCCCATTTTCTGGTTTTAGACGGTCTTCTTGACTGTGGAATTCTATTCTGCTATGGCAGTTGATGAACTCAAGACCAGTCATCCTATTGAGGTGCTTTTGCTTATTTTTTTAACTATTACGAAAGGGCCTTTGAATCTGTTGATTAATTTAGCTGCTTACCTTTCCAGATTGAAGTTTGCTCTCCGGCTGAAGTTGACGAAATTTTTGATGCAGTGTCTTATGAGAAGGGAGCGTCTATCATTCGCATGATCAATGACTACATGACACCTGAGGTTAGTTCATTCTTCTCGGGCCACGTAATTGTTATGTCCAACCCCTTTGCATGTGTTCATTGTTTTACTTTAAATTTAGCTTAAAATTGGTGTTTACTCATTCAATAATTAAAACGAGGGTATGCAGATTAAGTGCCTATTGTCAAAATCAGTTTTTTCAAGGTTAACTGATAGGTTATATATAGCTTTTAGTTCTTAATTAGTAGAGTTTTGGAGAAGTGAACATTTCGCTCCTATAGTTTCAATGTGTCCTTAACACTATCGTGTCTCAAAGCCTCCTTGAATACTTTTTTGGTTATATCATAGTTTTAAAGAGGATTGTGGACATTTGCTCATTCTCTTAGTTTCAAGAACAAGATTCCAATGGCGTAACCTTTCTGGACCAAAGTGAAGCACACGAGGGGGGGGGGAGACTAATTGGTGTCCGAATAGGAAGCTCGGTATAGTCACTGGCTGAATCAGGCTTCACAATCATAATCCCGGTTTTGTTGAAAATGATCGTCTTCTCCCACTATTTGTGATCTTCTTTCCTGCATTTGTGTTCTGTCACATCTACTTGCTAAGGATCTGTTTAGATCAAGTTTCCATAGCACAACGGTTTGCATTGGCTGATTATTTTGCCTTATTTGAACTGTAGGTCATGAGGACTAACCGCGTTTAAACGACACCGCTCCTAATTTTCAGTTACCGAGTAATAAATTTTTGGATCAAAGTGGGACAGACAACTTGTAAGAACCGACTACCTGATTATTTTTGGCCAATTTTTATCCTCGTGGAAAGTCCCATTAAACTTTAATTATTGATTACAAAACTAAAACGTTGAACCACCCAAGCTAATCAGCAAGTATTTGTGTTTTATAGAAGGAGTGGCATCAAAAGTTTTTGCTTCCCTTATCTCCTTGAAGTTGTTGAATTTAGCGTTTTATTTTGGTGCCTAGAAATTCAGGAAAGGTCTTCAGTTATACATTGAGCGTCACAAGTTCGGGAACACCGAAACCAACGACTTATGGAAGGCGCTTTCCGAAGAAATGAGGGAAGACATGCAAGCAATAATGTCCACTTGGACAAGGCAGATGGGTTATCCCTTGCTGACTGTTCGAAAAGTGAACGAAGATGACAATAAGGTGACGTATGCTATCGATCAGCAGCATTTTCTTGCGGATGGCTCTCATGATGGTAGTAATTGCATTTCTTACTTATCTCATTTCAGTAGGATGAATTTTATGCTTTCATTTTGTTATAGTAAACGATGAATCTGAATGGTGCGTTCCTGTGACAATTTGCGATGCCTCGGATTCAAGTAAAATTCTCAAACGATTTCTGCTTCCACGGGAGGCCCGAAAGGTGCCCTTTGAGATAGAATTGCCAGTCGGCACGAAGTTTCGTCTAAATCCCGGTGCGACTGCTTTCTATAGAGTTCGGTATGAGGAATCCCTCATTGGACCTGTATTGGAAGCCCTTGAACAAAAGAAGTTGGATAATAAGGACAGGCTCAGTGTTCTGGCCGACGAATTTGCTCTGGTATATATTTGAATATTGATATTTATTTAACCAATTATCTTAATTATTAATAAGGGAGTATTGTTAGTATACTTACAAGATGTTCGGAATAAAGGTGGCAGTCTCATCAGGAAGTAGTGTTGGTATCCGTAAAACGTGATAAGTATAAAAGATATTAGATGGATATGGAACCGCACTATCGTCATAGAATTCTACTCAGTGCAACTATCTTTTACAGCTTCAATCCGCCACCTCTCTGAAACCTGGAACGAGCCGATTTCAAGCTTTCCCTGGAAAGGTTCTCAAAACCTGTTTTAAATTTTCATTGACTAGTTGTTTTTTCTGTGCTGGTTCCATGGGTATTGGTGACTTTTCCGCAATGCCAAATGCGCATTTAATAGATCATCGGGTTAAGATCTGGGGTAAAAAGAGACAGAGCAAAATATATATGTATTTGATAAGTTTCTTCTATTGTCTTATAAAAGGCTCGGGCTGGATTCAAAAAAATGACTTTAGCCATGACAATGGCTTCAACTTTCCACGCTGAGAATGACTACGCTGTGTGGTGTGAACTTCGTTCCCAACTCGTTAGTTTGAGATCTCTCCTAGAGGAGCAATCCCCTTCCGTTATGAAAGACTCTGCATTCGAAGGTGCTGATCTCAAGGTGGCCATGAATGCCTTTATTACTCATCTTGCGCAGACGCCCTACAAAAATCTTGGTTAGTTCTGCTTTTGAAATGATTTGAAATTCTTCATGCTAAAAAAATTAGGTTGCCATTGGCCAAAGAGGGTTGAACCAGCCATAGGTAGTAATTAGAGTTTTCTAATATTTCTAGTTTTCTTCCAGAATTGGGCTGCTTCCTCCATTGGATTTCCTAAAGTTAAAATCATCGTTCTCTTTATTTTGTTTTTTCCCTCACAGGTTGGGAGGCCCGTGACAACGAGCCCAATAATGATACCCTCTTGCGTCCCCTTATTGCCTCTCTATTGGGTGGTAGCGGTTTTATTGACGCGGTAAATGAAGCCAAAGAGCGCTTCGATCGTCACTACAATGCCATAATGTCGGGTGAGGACTCAAACTCTAAGGACCTCATCCATCCTGATATTCGTGTTTCCGTTTACTCAACTTGTATGAGACATGGTGATGAGAAAACCCTTGATCGTCTGCTTGAGGCAAGTAGTTTAACTATTGAATTGTTATTTATGCAGACGGTTTCCATTTTTCTTGAGTGCTACTTCAGTAGCAGTCTAACGCCCATCTTTATTTTTAGTTGCATTCGAAGGCAACGATCCACGATGAAAGAGTTCGCATTCTGCATAGTATTGGTTCTACAAGATCGGAATCCTTAGTGAAACGTGTCATTGAGTTGACATTCTCCGATCTGGTGCGTAAACAGGATCGTCTGAGACCGTTGATTGTCCTCTCCTGTTCATCTGCTGTCGGTCGTCGTGCAGTGTGGACCGAAATTAAAACCCGAATCGAAACTCTTGTTGATGACCTCGGTGTTGTTCGTCTAATGGGACGTGTGATCAGTGTAAGAGCCTTTTAGAATTAATTAATTTAATTGCTATTAAGCCATGGTAGCGAATGGTCTGAGATAATCCATAAGTGCATTTTGAGTATCCACTGGGGCCTAAGTTGTTTTCAAGCTAACTTAAAATTGTTCATTCGTTAAATTTGCT